AGCCTCACGTCCCAGAGTTTGAAAATAAGCACGAAGCGCGTTCCATAAAATCAAGAAAAACATTCACTTTTAGACCTTTTCTTTGACCAATCAACACTAAGTCAACCAAACAAATAAAACAAAGAGCCTGATGAAAATGGACTCAGTCGTGCGCAACTGCATTGCTCGTTCGGCACGGCCTGAGATTGCAGTCGTTGGGCGTTCAATTTACGTTGCATAAACTAAAAGCTTCTTTAGGGCATTGCATGAATAAGAAACCAATGCTAGAATGCTGGGTTTTATCTGCACAAAGGTGTTGCTTTCTTCTCTAGCGTTGTGGCATTCATCACATGTTTTGCTCGTGTCTACTTCTAGGCCCTGAAGAAATTAAAAGCTTTATTAATTTTGCAACCACTTTTGCACATATTCAAGAAGTGCTTATACATATTTATAACAGATTTATTGTGAAAATGTTCTGGAAAACCTCTTTTATGTATTAAATGGGGTTATGTTCAAAGGAATGGGACTGTCGCTCACTATTGAATGCTCTTGGACTCATCCGGTGTCTAGGGAATACTCTGTAGTGAAAACCCATCTATTTGACTGGGATTGGAGATCGATCAGCAATCGGTTGGTAATCCAACACATTGCTGAAATCGGATCGTCCAAGATGATAACTTTATCCACACCATCGCTGCATGAGATAGGGCTTATTCTTTCATCTGCATGTCTCAATATTTACATTTACATAGGTATTCAAAAGCATCGCAGTAAGACGTCAAGACAAACCAGTTAAACTGGTGTTTTGCAAATGTAAGAGCTTGCATTTTTCTAAACCCTGGGGTAATGATGCTGCTCCCGCGTTATGCATGAATAACCATGGTGAACTGAATGGGAAAAACAGATGGTTAAGACAAATGATGAACCAAATAAAAGGCGACAATTCTTTCACAAAGCAACTCTCGTGTAAAAGGCATCCACAAATCATCATTACTTACTTATTCAGCCAATGTTATTGGATTATTTCCAATATTTTATTACGCATTTTAAGTCAAAGTATTTTTAAAACTATCGAGATCGTCATCAGTCAATAAAACCTGTTTTTCCTAATTGTCTAACCAGTCCCACACAGCACATTTAAAATAGAACAAGGAGTAGCGAACAATCTCGTTTTCAGTGATTCGTGGTTGTGCCAAATACATCACAATGAATATTACGCTGTTTATATATGTAGCAATATTCGAACCTGAAAAAAACAATCCGTTGTTTGGGGGAAGGAAAAATGACATCATAGGTTAACTGAGGCTAATTTTATCTTGGGACCGGATGTGGGATTCTCAGTGATCACATAATTGTTAGGTCATCCGCTCGTTGGAACCACTCGGGATATGCGGTGTATGGAGAGTGGGCCAAGGGAGCTTAAGCGCCTGCACAAATTGTTTTTGGGCACAAAGTGGAGGGTTGTGCAGCCCAATTTCTACCACTTCCGCCTTGGCCAGTATACGACCGCGAAACTACCTCGATGGTAGACCACGAACCCGATGCAAGCGACGTAATGCCTGGGTCAAAATGTGATTTGTTTCAACCAGGTGTGAAACCGCTATACCAGTGAGTGACCTGATCTTTCCTGTATTTACCCGTGCGGGGTAGTGTCCACGAATTCGTTCGGACAAACGCCAGACCGTACGACCTACGCACGTTGTTCCCAAAGAACACGTAAATGAGTACACACAAAATGAGACACTAAATTCGCTAGGAATATTCCGTAATATTATTGCTGTATTCTCTGCTGAGGGTACATCATAATCTGGTTATTGTGTTTCAATGACCAATTTTTCTCTGAGATGCTGATTCACACAAATGTTGTGATTGGCAGATGGCGGAATCCAAATATAAATCTGTGTAAATCAGAACTAGTTATAATATAACTTACAAGTAACATGTAGCCACTTAACGGCTAGAAGTTCAAACCCCGAGAGAGTGTTGAGCTCTCAGTCTCCTACATTCACTGGAAGTTTTCTCCATTAATTCACTGAAAATGATATCGCATTTAACGGCATCGTTAATGAGCTAGTCAGCTCATTTCCGACATGAAACTGGCAGAAGTTGTTGATTCACTAATGCTCCATAAGGATTTGTAATGACTTTTACATTTTCAGTTGTGCAATTGAACCTCGGTGTTATTCTAATTTATGCACAAAACAGCGATAATTGTTGTATTGTTTATTGCACCAGTTGAGCTGCCACATTATCAAGGCAGTTTTCACCATTTTACATTCGACCTGACATCAAAAGAATAAAAGATAAACATACAAACACAGACAGTTACTATTTCCCTCTGAGTCAATTACAGTTCACTAGTTCCCTATGTTTGCCAAGCTACACTTTTGACTCTCATGCGAGCTTTCCTTCATTTTCTCACCGGGAATAGCGGAAATCTTCAACCGAAATTGATCAAATCGAAATATTTCCTTCCGAAGGCTTTCTCACGATGATTAGAGATCTAGCGTTGGTCGATCGAATTGGATTTTTATTTCGCATTTCTTCATCTATCCTATCTTTGCTTTCAATGGTTAAAAAAGTTGATCCTTCATGACTTTTCCCCTTACGAAGTGTTTGCGCCACAGGTAACCAGTGAGAAACCAAACGTGTACAGTCATGTTTGGAATACATATAAAGGCTCTGAATTACACCATAAATTCTCACGACTATAGTCAATATACCAGTCAGACTAGGTGATATTTGATTAGTTCATTGTTCCGCTTTGTGATGATTTTATCGTTCTCGCTACAGATAGATTTCTTGAAGAAAGATTCTTCATGCCCATTTCCCAAGAAACCCGCTGCCAGTGGAACAAATAGCACAGCTAAACGTCACCAGGCCCATATTCAAAGAATTTCGGGTATTTATTGTTTGATCCGTGCCAAGAATACATTAATAATTTTCTCTGAACATAACAAGCATAAAGCTTAGTCACGGAGTGCTTTGAATCGGGTCGCTTTTGCGCCGTTCAGGGTTCAAATTTAACAAGCGAATAAATAGTGTAATGTAGGGACGGCAAATGAGATCACGGTTCGAACCGTAAAAATCTTCTCTGTATAAGTGATCACATGAGTATGGAGAAATAAAGTGATGCTGTACAGTGTGAGACATCTGGGTGTACGGAGGGAAGAATGCCACTGTTGTGCCAAAATCATCCAGCACATTACCTAGCCTAATCAATACAAATTTGCAATGAATTTGTTTGCATTTTTTCATCGGCACCCCGAAATCAGATGAAAAACTGAATGCATTGTTTTCGTCAATCATGCATCGAGCAATCTTCAAATGATCTTTGCTCCAGGTGGAGAGTTGTTAAGGAAGCTCTGTCAAATTCTAGAATATAGATTCACAGCACAAATACGATTATTAGGCTAGTGCTTACTTGCTATCACTATCCCAATAAACAATTATTGATCATTTTAGTTTGCTTTATCTATAACTTCTTTCTGCCTGCGAACTGCGGTAATATGTGCTTGCCTTCAAGGGGAACTTGAATATTACTAAATATCAGAAAAGACGCAATAAGACGCTGTTGTTTTTGCAAGTACTCACCAATATCTCGAAAATGTCGCGTTGATTCGGACACTCGATTTGGCAACCCAGTTTATGTTGATGCAATGCGATGACAATATATATGTATATATATATATATATATTTGATTTGCGATCAACAAGGAACATCAATTGACATATGGGAACAGACATATAACATCATGCGGTGCATAAATTGCCGCTAATCAAAACAGGTCACATAAAAACCTTTTTTAATGATCGAGGTCACTTCGGTTGTGTTGAACTAGCCAAAGCATAAGTTTGAATGTCTATCAATTACAGGAGAGATATGCAGCTAACTGGCAAAGGACGGATTCAACGAAGCTCAGGATGACTGACCGTCGTCGACAGTGCCCTGCCACTTACCCTCATGCACAGAACACAACACAAAATGTATGGTGATAAACACTTCAAAAGAAGTATTGATCTTTGATAATTTAGCTTCTGACAGAAAGTTAGGCACATACCATCACAAATACGTCTACAGTATTGTACACTATAGCTGTTAATTTGTTCAAAATAGAATAAGTGGGTTGCACTGTGGAAAGTGATGTCTACCGCCGAACGTTGAGATTTTGATTCCCAATAGAAAAAACAGGTACACAATGAAAATAGAATGTAAGTATTTCAAACGAATTATTTTGCCCGATATTTCTAGGGCTTTTAGATGACTTCTTGGTCGCGTTCTTCCCGATGATTGATTGACTAGCACTCCTTTGAACGTGATTGAGTCTCAACGAATATGTAATTTTCTTCGGAGCAATAAAATCAACGAAGTTATATCCCACTCCGTACAGTTGTCTCGTTTCATTTCAAGAATGATGTTGTGAAGTCGAGGCATGTAGTAGCCATCCCCACAATTGACGAATGTTACAAACACGTGGTTAAACGTGCTAAGTAGGTGATCGAGAATAGATGAACCTTAGAAAATAATACTGAGTCATNCTGAGTCATTGAAATTCACACTTGGACGCACAAACGTCACACTCGCACCTCCTGTCCTTTTTGTTTTAGATGCTTTATGGGAAAGATTCCAATGCAATGTCAAATCCACAATAAACGGTCTTCATTGAGCGATCGACTGAAGGAAACTGCTGTGTGTTGGCTTTTCGAAATTAAATCTACACTCGGGAGGGTTCAGTTTAGCCTGTCTATTAAATGTCAGTTCTGCTACCGAATGCACATTTCTTTGTAATCGTCGAGCCGATTAATTGAGTAGGCAATAGGCTTCATTTCAAAGTGTGCTGTGCAAATAACGATCTCATCATATTTGCAGGTTGATGTAATAAAGCTATAGAAAATAATACTCTAGCATTTTCAATATGTTTGAAATCAATCCGCCCCACTTTCTACCGATAGCAATGCAAACTTCGAACAGTTATAGGAGTCAAAATGTAGAACCAATCGAAGGATTGACACAAACTCACTTCAGGCATGGAATCTTCATATCCGTTCTCTTCGGCATACTTAATCAAATCAGTTTTCTTGATTGTCTTCGTACAATATTTGTCAATCGCAAAAAATGTTTCCAGCAGAAATTCCATTTAGCCGTCCGTTTAAATCAAGTCCGGCACGTGCACAACAAACAGATGAAGATAGATATATTAGGGGGCGTGGAGTAGACGAACAGATGGACCGATTTGAATGGGGTAGACCGTGAAGCGTGTAGTTTGCTCGATCAATTAATTGTCTTTTGTACAAACCCTTTTAGGACCTTGATCTGATTTGACTCACGCGTTATGATTGCACGTTCACACGCACGCCCGCGCACTCATGCGCACACTCACCCACACACACTCCCGCACACACACCAATGCTCACACTCGTTGATACCAATACAGTCTTTAAACAGCTGATCTCTTCTGAGAGTCACGTGTGGAAATATGGGCTTGGAATAGGGCTGAGCTAGCACGGATCAACTTGTAGCATTCATGAAATTATGTAATAGTTAAACACGTGTACGTATGTCGACGATGGTGGGGCCAAGGTAAGGCGGGTTGCTTTTCCGGTAAGTGACTATCGTATAATAAAAGTGAGTTGTTTCTTCACACGTCATGGGTACATGTGGGTATGCCTGTTGATCTTAGAGAGAAAGTCGTTTCCATATGGACTCAATATTTGGGTAAACGCAAATTACGTTGCGGGTATGGAACAGATGAATATGCATATAAATATCGATCGGTATAGGTTAACTTCGCACGTACTTCCGAATCACATGATTCACGAACTTCATTAAGACGTACTTTACATGATATATTTGAACTGTGTTCATATTGCACCTCTAAAATGTACGACCGCGATAAAAGGGGAAAGTAAAAGTGGCAGGACGATAACCAGACAGTAGGAACTTATGTTAGATAATTTAGCCACGTCGGAGCAGGGTAGGTCTTGGTTGTAGTTGAGTGCCTTTTGGGGTTCACGCGTTTGTATGGGCGATAAACGGGAGCTAAAGTAAGCGAGGTGACAATTGGTGGAGAAAGAACTAAACGATTATGTATTCATGTGGTAAATTAGCGAGGAAAACAGTTGCTTTGACCCGCTAGAATTCAAATGATGGACAGCGTGGTTAAATCTTGTGCTGCTGTCAACTTCTTGTGCTCATCATATGGACTTACACCTACTGCGTGCACGTACAAAGGCACAGCACCCTTATATGGGTCTCAGTAATGCGCATCACAGCACTCTTCTTCTTAAAAATGCTATCTCACACATGGTTACCAATTAAACAGAACTGCAAGGTGGTGACCATCTTAATCCTGTTGAGTTGATGCTAATCATATACAAACTTCAGACCGATTTCAAAAATCGCGGTTCCTAGGTGACCGGCGACGGCGAGGGAAAGCAGGTTGTGCAATGCGAGGCGGCAAAATATGATTGAACATCTCTGAAAATAGACCGTGCTAAAAGGGATAATCCTCAGATCAATAGATGAATATTAAAGTATACTTTATGCTTCGTTATAAAGGAAAGTAAGAATGAATGTTAACCAAATATATGTATTTTCCTATCTCAGTGCTGTACCAAGAATGTGAACAAATCTGGGTCCTAGGAAATGCCCTTAATAATTAATTTACTGAAAGTCAGCTGACGCAATGATAGCTACGATTATCTTAAGTAATTTTTATGGTGTACCCATCAGGAATATGTGCAAGAATGTATGTGTTCGTAAGAAAACCCAGTTTGAACGAACCTTAAC